ACTGTATTCAGATCAATACAAAGATTTAGTTGAGTTACTCATCTTGAAAAAGGTTGATGTGGATGATTCAGTTTCACGATTGGAATTGAATTGATGTTGAGTCAGGCTGGATCCTTTTCCAGAGGTATAATGACTGAAACACCAACTGTCTCAATTATCGACTTGAACATCGGTGAAAGTTCTGAGCTTAGCCTTAGTTTCCTTCAAACGATCAAAACAATGATCGATATAAAATAAACCATCGAAGCAACAGTCAATGTTGTTCTTGTCAATTATCATGGTTCATTGCGGTACATATGGTAACGATATCAATATTGTACCTTGGGTGTGACGAGTAGAGGATGAGGGACACTTGAGGATGGGTGGGTAGGCTTTTGTTTTGGATGGTATGTTGGTGTGTATGAGATGTGAGAGATGGGTTTGGGTAGGTTTTTTCATGTGGTGGTACGTTGTCTGCTACAGCGGTGGTTTGTGGATTAGGGTGGTGAAAAGAGGTCCCGGCGTGTGGGTCTCGGATGGTGTGGGATGATGTGTTCGTGTGTACAGGATGAGGGAGGGTAGGTTGTTTTGTGGTGTGGTATGTTTCCTGCTACAGTGGTGGGTTTTGATTCACAGGGTGGTGTGTGGATTTAAAGGATGAGGGTGGGTGGGATGTTTGGTGGTGTAGTATGTTTCCTGCTACAGTGGTGGGTTTTGATTCACAGGGTGGTGTGTGGATTTAAAGGATGAGGGTGGGTGGGATGTTTGGTGGTGTAGTATGTTTCCTGCTACAGTGGTGGGTTTTGATTCACAGGGTGGTGTGTGGATTTAAAGGATGAGTCGAGTGTATGAGTCTCCCCTTAGGGAATCTCGGACTTGTCCATTTTGAGGTCCCTCCAAGATGCTCCTCAAGATCCAACTTCATCTTGGCAGGGGTATGTCGAATACCATTGGGTGATAGCTATGTCCTTGGTCCTGATAATGAAAAGTCGACAAATATTTGAATTCTCAAACTTTCAGCTTCTTTGTTGGTTTCTAGTGGTTTTCAACAATTCAATACTTTTATGGACTCTTTGGATGGGGCCAGCAGCAAGGGTATTATTTTTGGCATTCAGATGATGCTATTGACAATTTACAGTCATTGGAGGCAACAGCCACGTGAATCCTGCAACAAAATCATCAGAAAACTGGACCTGTTACTTGCCAAGGTGGATACTGAGGGCCTGAAATGGCTTTTTTTTTGTATGAGTGAACTGGCTTGTGTAAGCCCACAACATTTCTTGATCTTATCAACCCATTTGGAAGGTGTTTCTCACTGATTTTGAATTTCAATCTTCCCTCACAGGAATGTCAAGATAATGTTTCAGTGGATCAGTTGGATGGAAAGTGTCTGTCTGGACAATCACCTCTTCTGTATTGGCCGAAGATGCGGAAG